AGTCCTGTCCTAACTATGTCTATGGTGCTTCTCCATTGCAGTCACATCATGCAAGTTCAAAATCTTTCTAGGGGCTTCGCAGTGCTAGGGAAACTGAGGAAACCTATGGCCCAGGCTGCCCTCAGACTCATGGCAATCCTCCCACTTCAGCCTCCAGTACTGGAATTACATGAGCCACTGTGCAGGATTAATTCCTCCTGATTCTGTGTGCTCCTCTAGTCCCTGCTAATTCCTCTGCCAATCAATCCCCTCCTCTCACACTCCCTCTGCCCCCCCACCCTTAGTTGTCAACTCTCCTCCCCAAGCTGCTTCCAGTATCTGTTGACAGGCTTTCCCTAAAGCTGGGTGTCTCCCCTTTCAGACGCTGCAAGCAATCCATACCACAGCATGTCTTGGAGTAACTGTAGGATTTCCCTCTCCACCATCACACATAGGACTGTGAACCCCATTGTAACAAAGACCTGGGCTGGTTTTTCTTACTGTAGTGGCCCAAATAACCAGAGAAACAGCTGAGTTCATGCTTGATGGAGTACCACAGGTGAGGAATAAGCCCAGACACCTGCCTAATTGTGGGCAGGGGCTCATATACCCTGCTTGCTTGGGGAGACCAAGGGTTCACCTGTCACTTGCAGAGTAGTAATGGTGTCCCTGAACATTCTCAAATATCCCAGCTTGGTGACATGCCATATGATCAGTCCAGTTGTTAGGAAGGAGAAAGGGTAAACCCCCAAGATTCCATTATTTTTCTGTCTCACATTCATCCAGTTTCTTCTCCAAAGCAGAAACATGTTCTTTTCTCTTCTCAAACCTTTCTTCTTCTATATTCTCCCTGCACCCCTCCCCCCCCCCGCCAAATACATGAGGATTCTGTTTTCCCATTTCACTGCAGAAGTATACTCCTGGAGGGTTGCCATGGTGAGCTAACGATTCACTACCCTAGAAACAGTTGCCTAGGAAATGAGTGATGTCACTTCCAGGAGATGATTTTCATAGTAACCATCTTGGTGGAATTCAGGGGGCAGCCATGAAAGCAAAGCGGGAGGAGGGCAGTTGCCAAAGACATGTGTAAAGAGAAGGAAATAGGGGGATACAAGAGGAAAAGGAAGAAGATGGGGACCATCCCAGAGCAGCTGACACTGATTACAGATCTCAGGAATGGAAGTCTCCAGACACCACCAAAGGCAACAAGCTAAGAGGCTAGCACTTACAATCACACCACCAGTTTAGAAGAGATGCCAACTCTAAGGATTGCCTATAGTAGACAGGTGGCAAAATAAAAGCTTCTTTTCAGTCATTTTTAAAAAAGTATTAATTTATTTAGGGGAGACTCATGCCATGGTCCACACACTCAGTCAGTTTTCTTTCCTGTCGTGGGTTTGGAGAGTCAGACTCAGGTCGTCAGGCTTGGCGGCAAGTGCCTTTACCTACTAAGTCATTTCAATGGCCCATTGGCCACCTTCCTAAAATTCCAACCTCGTACATAAGACCAATAAACTGTAAATTGTGTACAGCAGGGGGAAACCCTGAATGTCGTTTTCATCTTTGTATTGTATCTACATACACATGTGTACAGAAACACATATACACATACACAGGGCACATTAGCCCTGTAAGAACAAGGCTCATGTCTATGACAATTGACAGGCATCTCAAGCCCCCCACCCAATGTAGTAACAATCTAATGGAATTATTGGGCAGAGAAGGACTGATAAATGTCATTGTGTGGTACAGAGCCATAGACTAAACCCCCAGAAGGGGCTCACAGTAGCTGTCAAGGAAGATTATAGATAAGAATTTGGATAGTCATTCCAGGGCGGGTAAAGACATGTAAAAGGGAACAAGGTTAGAGAGGTGGCTCAGTCACAACTGTTCCACCAGCACAAGGGCCTGTTTGGTCACTCAAAACCCATGTAAAAAAGCCAGGAGTGACAGCCCATGCCTTTAATCCCAGCACTGGGAAGGCAGAGACAGAACCCTGGGGGGGCATACTAGTCAGTCACTCTAGCTGAATCAATGGACTCCATGCAGTAGGACACTATCAAAATATATATAAATGGAGGAAAGCACCTGGTATCAACATGCACACATGTGGACCCCATACATGAACATAGTAGACACGCACACACAAAACTAAGCAAGCAGGCTGAACAAGTTCGGTGTAGCTTGGCTTCATCTGGTGCCACTTGTTCCCATCTGTCCATGTGTTGCCTATAGAGCATCCTTTCTCAGTGGAAGAGCAGAAAGGTTTAAAAGAAAGCAGCAAGGCCCTGATTTCAGGACATGCCCAGGATGTTGCTGGGACACTCAGAAGCCAATCTGGTCAAAAGGCAAATGTAACCAAGAGTGACAGAAGACTGTCAAGCAAGGGGGTCTTATCTAAGACGTCTCCTCAGCTCTGGGTCCTTCTCAATTTTTAAATTGCTTCTGTGCACACACAAAGGCAACATGATGTTATGGGAAAGCAAGGACCTTGAAGTCTTGCTAAACAGTATGCTAGGCTGCCTTCTGGCTCTTTAACCTTAGGAGTCACTTTTCTGAATCTCAGATTCTAGCCACCTTTTTGCAGTGCTGGGGATAGAACCCAGACCCTTGTTAACGCTAGACTAGCCCTATACCACTAAGTTACATCCTCAGCTCTTCAACTTTTGCTATTTTGTTTTCTGAAGCAGGGTTTCTCTGTGCTGCCCCGGCTGTCCTGCAACTTGCTCTTTAGACCAGGTTGGCCTTGGACTCAGAGATCTGCCTGCCTCTGCATCCTGAGTGCTGGGATTAATGGCATGCGCCACCACTGCCCGGCTTCAGTCCTTGAACTTTAAAGTCTGTTTTTTTAAAAATTTATTTTGCATTCTGTATGTCTGTGTGGGGGTGTGCACACTTGAATGAAGGTACTCAGAGGCCAGCTCCATGTTTATTTAACCCTGGAGTTAGGGTTACAAGCAACTGAACAGGCCAACATGGGTGCTGAGAATCAAACTTTTAATTATCTCGGGGCTATTCCTATTGTTAACTACTGAACCATCTCTGCAGCTGAACTAAAGCATCACTTACCAAGGTGACTAGCTCACAGAAGGTCGTCAGCAAGTGTCATCACTTCCGTCCTCCACGATAGCCTAGGCACTTACACCTTGGGCAATGAACTTGGCACTATCCCTTTCATCTTTGGTTTCCCCAGCTGTTCTAGACACCATCAAGGTCTGCAGTCCAGTGCAAGTGGAAACAACTTAGGACCACAAAGAATGACACAAAGTTACCTAGTTGTTCAAGAGAAGAGGCTTCCCCAGGCCAGGAGTCCAGAATATTTTGTAAGATGTCAGTTTGGAGGAGGGAAGCAGCAGCAGCTGGTCATTGGAGTCATCTTTGTGGGGTCTACTCTCAGATAAGAGATCAAAATAGTTAAGACTTAGGAGCCATACCGGAAGGCAGCTCCATGTTTAAAATGTTTGTCAGTTCCAAACACCTCAATTTGAGTGATCTTTCTGTCATGGCCCCCAACTAGCTGGACTGCAGGCACATGCTCTCATACTCAGCTCAACACCCCAGTTTTGGCTTTCTGCTTTGAGAAAAGTTCTTATGTATTCCAGACTGGCCTGGAGCTCACTATGTAGATGAGAATGATCTTGAATTTCCCATCCTCCACCTCAGTCCAGAGATAGCAGGTGTTTATGTGGTACTGGGAATCCAACCTGAGGTTTCACTTGTGTGATGCAAGCACACTACCACCAAGCTACAACCCTGCCAACAGTCTGCTTTGACTTCAGCTTTACCTCTTTAAAGATAGGCACCTTAAATGACATGGCTGATACCTAGTTTTCTCCAATCAAAAGCATTAACATCATTTAGTTTCACTGTAGATTCAGAGACTATACACAGAAATTCCCAGAACATTTGTCTTACCAAACAGCCCAATGCCTAAAATCTATTTTTAAAAAGTCACTTAAGTTATTCTTGTGTCAAAGAAATAAAAGACCTTAAACATGCCATAGTGTGCTAGGTGGGTTATAAAGCAGGCTATGGCAGTTTAACTCCCTCTTGGCTCAAGAAACCCCAATTAATCAGGTGGACCTTATTTTGAGGCCAGCCTGGTTTACACAGTGAGCTCAAGGGCTACATCGGTGAGACCATTATCTCAAAAAAGACAAATAATGAAAGTTTCAAGTAAAACAAAAACAAAAGGGGGGAAGGGGAAGAAGAAGTTTTAAGTATCCTTTAAAATAAAAGAATGAAAACTGCCTGAGGTACTCAGCAGGTAAAAAGCACTTGCCACGGCTTCATGCTCCTGAATTCAGATCCTGACGCCACATGGTAGAAAGCCTACTCCCCGTGTCCTTTACCACCACACATCAATCCACACGCAAATCCCCATTACATTTTTTTTTTCAGACAGGGTCTCACCCTTTAGCTCTGGCTGGCCTCAAACAGAGATGCCTGACTGCCTCTGCCTCCCAAGTACTGGGATTGAAGGTGTGTGCCATGACACTGGGCAAAACTTCCCCCTCAAAACAGGGTTTCTGTCTAGCTTTGGAGCCTGTCCTAGAACTTAATTCTGTAGACCAGGCTGGCCTCGAACTAAGAGAGATTCACCTGCCTCTGCCTCTCGAGTGCTGGGATTAAAAGTGTGCACCACCACTGACAGGCTTGGCAAAAACTTCTTAATCACTAAAATCTACTTCTGGCCCCAGGTTGTACACTCTAACTATAGTATCTAATCTGGAAAATGAGCCACATAAACTCAGGGTTTACTATCAATCCTCAATGGATTAACCACAAACCCTCCCAACACAGACACAGATTAAACCTTACAGTGGAGTGGCTCGTTTATATGCATCAGTTACCAGGGAGTGTGGATAGTGCCATCGTACAAAAAACTACTGTGTGCTACACACTGTGAAAGTCTGAACACACATTACCAACGCTACAATGCTGAGAAACGCAAACCGGGACTCAAAACAGCTTTGTAGGAAGGAGGAAGGGGAAAAAGAAAAGTCAAGGCCAGGCACTGATAATATCCCCAAAGCAGCATTTATTTACTCTTTTAGGTCCAAAACATTTATTTTAGCTGTCTGGCATTTCATAACCACCCATCATGATTGACACAGGTTGACACACATGATGCTGTCAGGATACACAAGAACAATAGCCAACGAGTTACAAAAAATAAATCCATGATTCTGAATCACAACCAAAAAAAAAGAAAGTTACACATATCAAAACTTCTGATGCATTGCATTGAAAAGAAAGTGTGTGCACATCATAATTTAAAGAGGCACAGCAAGGGCTGCTGAAAGCTCACGTTAAACAGTTTATAAAGCTGATGGTGAAGGAACAAGTTGTCGCTGTGTCAGTTTCCATTAGCTGAAGGAGGGGCGAGAGGGTCAAATTCATTTCTGCATGCACAAGATGTACTGCTTAACAGAATACTACCAGCTTGTTTTAAATAGCAGCCATAGCCTGTGCTGGCTAATTCTCCTTTCTACACTCCTCAATTACCATCACCTGGACTTGCCATACATCAACAGACATAATAAAATGCCTCATTCAGAACACACTTCTCTGAACAATTCAAAAGGGAATGATGCCCTGTGGCTCAAAGCAACCATCAGTCCAGCAAATGCCCATGAAGGTTTATCTGAAACTGCTTCCCACGGGACAGGAGGGCAGATCTGAATAGCTGTGCTGCCAATACAGACAGGTTTAGCACTAGATATAGTGATTGTGGCAAGGAAGAATCAGTGATGGGGGTGGTGGGTGAAGGAAGGGCCAGGGACCTGAAGGATCTTCAGTTGCCTTCTCCTGCTTCTTCATCCTGCTGGTCGCTCGTCCAGAGGGTGAGGTTGTCTCGCAGCAACTGCATGATGAGAGTGGAGTCCTTATAGGAATCCTCATTTAATGTGTCCAGCTCAGCTATGGCATCATCGAAGGCTTGTTTGGCTAAGAGGCAGGCCTGCTCTGGTGCATTCTGGATCTCATAGTAGAACACAGAAAAATTGAGGGCCAGGCCAAGCCGGATGGGATGCGTTGGCTGCATGTGCTCTTTGCTGATTTCGAAGGCTTTCTTGTATGCGGCCTCAGAAGCTTCCACCACGCTGCTTTTCTTCTCTCCAGAAGCCACCTCTGCCAAGTAGCGGTAGTAATCGCCCTTCATTTTCAGGTAGAACACTTTGCTCTCATACTGGAAATCATTGCAGTTCTTGATGAGGAACTTGTCAAGAAGAGCCAAGACATCATTGCAAACTGTCTCGAGCTCCTTCTCGATCTTCTCCCGGTAAGCTTTAACTTTTTCCAACTTCTTCTCATTTCCATCCGCCATGGTTTTCTGCTCAATACTACTAATGACCCTCCAAGAAGATCGCCTGGCACCAACTACATTCTTGTAGGCCACAGAGAGGAGATTTCGATCTTCATTAGACAGAGGTTCATTCAGTTCTGTCACCTGCAAAACACCAGACATAAACATAAGAGCACAAAGTCTGAGTATCTGAGAGTCATCCACCTCGAACTCACAGACATCCACTTGCCTCTGCCTCCCGAGAGCTGGGATCAAAGATGTACACCACCACAACCTGGCTCTTTTTCTTTTCTTTTTTAAAATAATTTATTCATTTTTATTTTATTTGCGTTGGTGTTTTGTTTGCGTGTATGTACTTACGCCATGATAGGGTCTAGGGTAATTCAAAATTCAAGTCTGCGATGGCTCAGCAGCTAAGAGAGCTTGTTGCTCTTGCAGAAGACCAGTGTTTGGTTCCCAGTACTCATGCTGCATGGTTCACAACTGTCTATAACTCCAGTGCCAGGAAGATCTGACGCCCCACTGTCTCCACATACACAAATAATTTTTTTTTTTTTTTTGGTTTTTCAAGACAGGGTTTCTCTGTGTAACAGTCCTGGCCGTCCTGGACCTCACTCTATAGACTGGCTGGCCTCAAACAGAGACCCGCAAATCTCTGCCTCCTGAGTCCTGGGATTAAAGGCATATACCATCACCACCCAGCTAGAAAAAAAAAATTTTAAATGATGTTTTCATTTTGGTAGAGGAATGACTGAATGGGTATCATGGAAGGCATTACAGTGGTACAGAGTGCCAATGACTCTGCTCTGTGGTACTCCCATCAGATACTTCCAGGTTTCACCCAAACTAAAATGAAAAGTACATTCATTAGTAAATACCCAACTCTGCTGAAAGGAAGCAATGCTACTTAGCAGCCAACTTTTTTTTTCTCCAACTACATGACTAGAATGTAGGTGACCATAAATTTTAAAAAACAATTACTTTAATGGAAGAGTTCAATTTCATCAGCTACAACTTTTTCTAGTTTTCTTTTTATTTTATTTTTTGAGACAGTTTCTCTGTGTAACCCTGGCTGTCCTGGAACTCGATGAGATATGCCTGCCTCTGCCTCCTGAGGGCTGGGATTAAAGGCATCTCTCCATTTCTTCTTCTTTGTTTAAAAGATTTATTTATTGGTTATATAGAGCATGTTTTCTTGCATACCAGAAGAGGGCATCAGATCTCATTACAGATGGTTGTGAGCCACCATGTGGTTGCCGGGAATTGAACTCAGGACCTCTGGAAAAGCAGTCCAGTGCTCTTAATCTCTGAGCCATCTCTCCAGCCCCCTCTCCATTTCTTAAAAACAAGACAAATTAACAACAAAAACAGTCTCCAGGTCAGCAATTTAACTGTTGTCTTTACCACACAGCCTCTGGCTGCACAAACTCGCAACCCCACGGCATTTTTACCCATTCTCTGCTCTAGGATTACACAGCATTAGTAAAAGTCACAAATAACAGTTTGCTGCTAACTCATTTAACTTCCTATGACATCATTTGCTTACTCAGAAATCTCTAGGGGCCTCCTCCCACTACTTATAAGGCAATAAACTGGATAAAAATAGACCTAGGGCCAAAAACAGAACATGACTAGAAAAATGTAAAAAGTTCTTAATCTGGGAGATATCCATTATCAGCTGTAATACTGAGCAAACAAAACTGACACAGGAGTCAAGTATGGTGATGCAGGCGCACATCACAGGTCCTCAGGAAGCTGAAACAGGAGGACTGTGCGCTCACCTGCTTGGGCTATGTAATAAGCTCAAGGCCAGCAGAGATAACTAACATTCTAAACTTAATACTGGACAAATGAAAACAGCGCCTCTCAGTTTCCTTAGAGACTGAATTGTCTTTGCCTTGCTTTGACATCATACAACCCAGAAGACTGGCATGCTGCACACTACTGTCTCTGAAGGCATGGAGACTGGTAGCTTCAGAAGCTCTGCCCAGTTCTGATCGTCCAAGTGTCCCATGGCAGAAGAACAGAACATCAGTGAAGGAAGGGTGAGGAAACACGGAAATGCCTCCACGGGGACACCAGGGGACATCGGTTAACCTCTGTGCAGAGGCCAGAGACAACTTCAGGTGCCATCCTCAGGCATCACCCATCTTTGAGGGTCTCTCTCAATGGTATGGAACAAATAAACAGCCTAGGCTAGATGACCAGTGAGTCTGTCTCTGCCTCCCCAGGTCTTGGATTACAAGCCATCTGTTCACCAACCGTTTTGCTGCTGCTGGTTTAACATGCGTCCTCATGTTTGTACAACAAGCACTTTACCAACTACGCCATCTTCCCAGTTCTGACAAGTAAAATGCAACACTCAACTAATAGCCAGAACCAAAATCCGACCAATTCTTAATTATTACACTGAAAAATCCTCCTGGCTTTCAGAACAGGCAAAGTTCAGCCCTACAGACTTCCCTTTTACACTTGTAAGCCACAAGTGGTAGATTGATTCTATTTTTAATCAAACTTGGCAGATACACCCAGTAAATGTTAACTGCTTGTTAAGTCCACTTACATAAAATAACTGGAACAAGAGTCAATATAACAGAATATATGTCAGAAACTATTCTGTAACTTCATGGGACATTGTACAACGTTAAAATGAGAACTCAGCATTTCAAATTCTGGATTTACAACCATCTGACCAAGATGAAATTAACCACTGTAAATCCCATCTGTAAGATGGTGGTACTACAACCAGTACTTGTAGACAGACCTGTTTAACACTGCATGAGAGCTGAGGGAGTCAACCACTGGTAGAGCATATGCTCAGCACGAGACCCTGGGGTTTGATTTCTAGCACCAGGCAATTAGTATAAATAAAAACAACAGGTACATAAACTAACAGCTGTCATCTAATGAATACTAGTAAGTAAAACAAAAACTCAAACTTGTTGAATAAGATATGGAAAACACTGAGGTAATCCTCTAAAACTATTACTTTTTTAGACAGGGTCTAACTGCATAGCTCAGGCTGGTCTTGAACTCACAATAATCCTCCATCCTCAATTTTCCAAGTGCTGGAATTACAGTAATAAACTATCAAACTTAGACCACACCACATTTCTAAAGGAATGGTGTAACTTCTACAGTTAACCTCTAATAGAGCAAAACAAAACAACCCAAAAACCAAAGAGCACATCCCCCACTCCCCCCAATGAGTTAGTACTATGGCTCCCATGAGACAACTGAGGAACCTGAATGCAGGAAAGTTATGTATCTGTTTGCCACCTAAAATACCTCTTTCAGGTACAGGAACAAAGCCAGAGTCCTGAGTATGCTAAGTGCTCTCCCACCCAACCCCAGAGCAGCATTTAACTGCAGCTATTACATGAATAATAATTAAATGTCTTCCAAATGTCTTCCTCAGATTAGATATTGGTACAGAGAGAATTACATTTCGATGCCCAGCTAGTGGAAAGCAGATCTCCTAATTTTCTTTTACTTCAAACAGCACTAAAGTGGCTTTCATAGCATAGACATTCAAGGTAGCTCAATCCTAGCACCCAGGAGAACGCTAGCAGAGGTCAGCCTGGTCAACTTTGGGAGTGCCAAGCCAGATGAGGGTGTATACACAGGGTTATAGGGAAGGGTTATGGGGGAGAAGGGGACACACATACTGAGAACCTGTCTCAAAAATTTTCCATATGACAATTTTTGATGTATCTTAAAAGTCCGCAAGATTTCCAGGTGGTAGGCAGAGTCTTGTACTTTGAATCCCAGAACTCAGGAGGCAGAGGCAGGTAGATCTGTGAGTTCGAGGCCAGCCTGATTTACAGAGTGAGTTCCAGGACAGGCTCCAAAGCTACAAGGAGAAACCCTATTTCAAAAAACAAAAACAAAAAAAAGAAGTCCACAAGATTATGTCTCCCTAGCCATTCAGCGGTTCTCCTTTACACACCACCTGCTCCTTTCCCCATGTCCCCCAATCTCACAGCAATTAGTAGTCAGGTCCTCTTGCCTCTTCCTGTCCAACATGTTTCGTTAAATGTGGTTTTGTTGCCTGCACTTAGATATTCATCAAATCCAACATTTCGCTCTATGATTTGCTACTATAAAGACTGTAGCAGCTGGGTGTGCTGGTAGTCTGTAATCCAAGCACTCAGGAGGCACAGGCAAAAGAAGTCTGCATTTGAAGTCAGTAAGACTCAAACAAGATAATATAGCACTTATGTTTGCATTTTATAATTTCATAATTATCACCTTTATTCTGATATAAGGACTCAGGGGAATAAGAAGACATGACTGAATTATGTTTACCTCTCTATCTATCAATACAGAAGCCTACAGTTTCCTTTTTTCCTGACATCTCAGTCCTTTACAGTAATATTCTATTCTAATTCCACTTAATATAGGTGAGATCGGGACGGGCTCGAAGACCCATTTTTTAATTGAGCTTCTGTTGTTCAGAAACATTTGCTGACTCTTCATGAGCTAAAACAGAAATTACGGTTTTCAACAGATTTGAAGCAACATCACTATTCCTAATGTGTGTGTGGGAAGGAGTGCTGGGGAATCACAACCGGGGCCCTCAACATGCTAGGCAACAGCTGTACCACCCGCTCCATCCACAGTCAACATTCTAGAGTTTACCACTGCTGTTCTCCAGGTGACGCTGCTGGATTAAGAACATCATTATAAGCATTATAACTAAACCATTTAAAACAAGAAATAAAAAGAACCTTGAAGATTAAAGACAAAAACAGCCTATCACCAATACTGTTACTAACACCAATATTCCTAATTTTATACTTCAGAGACCCTGCAACCAGATTAAGTTTCAAGGTCAGAGTAGCATACTGGCTCACTTCATCAAGCCAATGCCTTGCTCCACCCTCTCTACAACAGTGTACTTACCTGCCTCTTCCCGGCCCGAAAGAAAGCCCACACAACCCAGAGGGGAGCCAGGCAGGGTGGTGCACACCAGTGACCACAGCATTGAAAGGTAAAGGCAGGATCACCGGGAGCTCAGACCCTGCTACTTAATGTGTTTAAGGACAACCTGGGATACATGAAAACCTATCTAAGAGAAGGAAAAAAACCAACATAAGTATACTAGAATTCACTCTTCCTAAAAGCTTTAATTAGGCTTATGAATGGATGACCTATTAACATTTATTAAGAATTTTATCTATAAATTACACCAACAGGCAAAATGAGATTGTTCTCCACCTACCTAAAAATATATCCCACTAATATAGGTGACAAATATTAATTCTGATAGGAAACAATTCCCCTTATTTTTTTAATAGTTAATTTGAGGGAATGTTTTATCAGCAATTTGATGGTGCAAATATTAAGTTCTCAGTTCTTGGTGTCCTTTGCAACCCCATGACTCCTTTCAGACACGGATTATAAATTTCTAACACACTCTAAGGTCCATTAGCTTGTAAAACGTTACCTTAATGCCCCAGAAAACATCTGTGAAGAAGGAAACTGCTGGACATTTTTCAAGCCCACTTCGAAAGATCAGAGGGCCTCTTCTCCCTGTTGAAACCGTATTCTGTCCTGGTAACATCTCTCTAGTCTGTTCTTAATTCCCACCTCAGGACAGTTGATAGTGCTACACAAGTGTTCACTACTTTCCCTTAGCTTCCTTTCACCTTCATTTAAGCCCCATCCCTTTCTCTCCAACACCTTCCTCTCCCACTGCAGCCTAGAAGGCCCACCCAGGTGTCCAGGGGGAGGCCTCAGCCTGCACAGAACTGTCTGGTGACTCGGTGTGGATAGTGGTGGTTTGCAAGAGCAGATTAGGGATTACAGCCGTGTTCCCAAAAATTTGCAAAATTTAAAATTTGCATTTTAAATTTGTTTTCTTAAAGAGGCCCCAATTTCTTAAAGGCCCAGACTGCAAAGCTAGAACATACCCTGGTATACATGAAAACCTTCAATCTCCTCAGAACACCATAGTAGAATGCTGGAATCAGTATCACCAATGTATCAACAAATGGGCTGTGTATTGTGGGTTTCCTGAGACATTTTGCTGAATGTATTAACAGGACACTAGAGGAAGGATAACTTATTGTTCTTACCTGGGACCTCAATTTTATATTTCTTGTAGTACCAAAATTTTCAGATTATATTTGTAGAGTATCTGGGCTTATAATTTTTTATTTAAAGATCCTTTCAAAGGCCACCTATAGGGCATACGAGCTACATATGAGCTAGGGCAGTTAACTCATTTAAGTCAGCTAAAAATTGCCCCAAGGGCTATTTAAAAGGCAGATTTCTGAATCTCACTCCCAAAATGCTTGTATATTAAAAGGCTAAGGTGGAGTCCAAAGGAATTCTCCCCAGGCTTAGAAGGTTCACACCAAAACTAACCTAGTAGCCATGGCTGTGTGACCTTGACAAAAAAAAAAAAAATTCATCTAAGAAACCCAGGACGACGTAAAGAATCGTCTATAGTGAGGTGGTGACCAGAATTCAAACACTCGGACACGCAGGTAGGCTCTAATCTACGGGGCTGGCTAGGGTGTGGCTGGGCATGTCTCCTTCACCGGAAATCAAGCTGCAGAATCCATCTATGAGGGTCTCAGGAATGCAAAGGCACCCAGGTTCGCTTCGTTTTCATTTCCTCTCCAGGCAGACACGCTGCCTTGACCGTTGGGAGAGTCTGTAGAGACCCATGCCCTCCTACACGCCTGTGTCTCCTGGAAAGGGAGGTCTTCGCACACAAAGCCAGACCCGAGCGAGGTGTGGAAAAACGGGAAAGATCCAACTTCTGGCAAGCAGAGCAAACAGGTCGTGGCAGAGAAAACCATGAGACGGGGCTCCACTCGCGGATGATTCTTTATTACAAGTGGGTGAATGGTGGAAGGGAAGCACGTTTCGCCTCGGCTCGGGCAGAAGGGTCTAGACGCAGGAACGCGATTTCCTCGTGTACCCCCTCCCCCACCAGGGCTTCGAGCTAGGATCCGCCGACCCCCGCCTGCCAGCCTCCGAGAGGGGGACCCCGCCCCGGCAGGGCCTCACGAAACGGAGAGCTCGGCGGCCGCCGCGCCCCAAAGGTGGCCCGCCGTGCGCAGGGAGGGAGCCGCCGCCCAAGCCCGGGCCCGCCCCACCTAGACCCTTCTGCCCGA